GCCACCCCCCTTCCTTTCCTTCCTGATCTCTTTTGAGTGCTGTATACACTTGCTTGCTGATACAGAATTCTGGAGTAAACACAGTGTAGTGGAAAGAGTATTGGGTTTGAATCCTAGCTCTGTGTAACACTCTCTGTGTTACCTTGGGTAAGTCACTTCACTTCTCTCTGGTCTTATTTTCTTTGTCAGAGCTAGACACTCGGACTAGATAATGGTAGCATCTTAGAGTTGGCAGTGGAACACTCTCTTTAGCATCCCTGAAAAAGGGCCATCCAGCCTCTGGGTGGAGGACAGGGGCTACGTTCACAGGTCGTCTGTCCCTGTCAGGAATCTCCCTCACTGCCTTAAAAGAAGCTTCATTGATCCGAGTTCTGATCTCAAGATAGTTTAATCTCCTTCCTCCATCTTAGCTCTTTTCCAGCTAGTGAACGTCGCATATCATGGGGCATGTTCAGGCCTCTCTCTCTCTCTCTCTCTCTCTCTCTCTCTCTCTCTCTCTCTCTCTCTCTCTCTCTCTCTCTCTCTCCTTTATATTTTTTTGCTTTTTTTTTGTGAGGCAGTTGGGGTGACATGCCCAGGTCACACAGCTAGTAAGCATCAAGTGTCTGAAGCCGGCTTTGAACTCAGGTCCTCCTGACTCCAGGGCTGGTGCTCTATCCACTGGGCCACCTAGCTGCCCTCTACGTCTGTATCTGTTGAGGCCCTTCAGTAGTCCCGTGATGCAGATGGGGAACAGATAATCACCCCTCCGTAGGCACAGGACGATCCTGAGATTCAGAAAAGTCAAGGAACACAACCAACTTCACACAGTGAGTTAGTGGCTTCCTGTGGCCCAGGCTCCAGGGTTCTCTTCACTGTGTTGCTCTTGTTCTAATAGTCTGGAGCTTTCTGGGGTGTCCTGGGGATCCCTTCCAAGAACAGGAAGCTGCCTCTCTGCCAAGGAGCAAACTGGACTCTGGGAAGCCTTTGCTTTTCAAAGTACCCTGAATCCCAAACAGCTAGAACCCAATTTGAACTGGGGGGTGCTCCCTGCCTAGCCTCCTTTTCACCTACATGGGTCAAGGTATGCCCTGAGTGGTGCTGTGGAAGGCCAGACTTAGGATTCACTGCAGCTTCCTCTCACTGGCGAGCTCTCGCTGGATGCTGGCAGTAGAAGGGCACCGTGTCTCCTCTCAGGCACCTCTCATATGAATGATTCAAGGATCCATGCTTTCCTGCGCACTGAAACCAGTCACAGCCACGTGGAGACTTAGAATCTGTCGCTTGAACTTGGGGTGATGAGCCTGTCTGTGCTAAGCTATGCTGGCCCTCTGAGAGTGGCCCCGCTGGCTGCCGGCCTCACACTGGAAGCCTTTCCGGCTGCATTAGCTGGGATGGCGGCATCCAAACAGGCCTCTGCAGGTTGCACAGGAGAAGAGGGAATCTGATAGGTTGAAATGCAAAATCTTACGTTTGGGTTCAAATAGTCAACTTCCGAAGCACAGGACGGGGGAGGTGTGTGTAGACAGCGGTATGAGTCTGAGTCCACGATGACAGAACAAAGCAAAAGAAGTCAAAAGCCCCAACTCCTAATCTGGATTGATGTTTCCTTGAGAGGCAGAGCATCTCGAACCAGGAGGTGATCATTCTGCCACTGGCCTGATTGGCCTTGGCCACCCTACCTTCAACAAGCATTGATTAAGCAGTGTGAGACGCTGTGGTAAACGCAGAGACAGGGGTGATTCAGTCCCTGCCTCTGGACGCCACGTTCCGGGAAGGACAGTGACCGACTGGAGAGCGTCCAGGGGATGACGGCTAGGGTGAGCAGGGGATTTTGAGACCATCGGGTTGGTCAAAGGATTCGGGAGAAGAGATTTAGAGGGACTCGGGCAGCTAGGTGGCATAGGGCCTACAGAGCTGTATTTGGAGTCAGGAACCACCGACACAAGGGTATCACCCCAGGGAACCTCTCTGCCTCAGTTTCCTTATCTGCAGAGTGGGGACACTGGTGCCTTCCTCCTGGGTCTGTTGTGAGGCTCAAACGATGACATGTCCAGTCGGTTTATAAACCTTGGAGGGATACAGAGCTGCTAGCCGAGGGCTGCCTCACAGAGGAGAATGAGAACGGTTCTGCCCAGGCCTGGAGCTTGGCATGACTGAACAAGCCCTGCCTGGAAGCTGTAGAGGCAGGTTTAGGGGGGATGTCAGGAAACGCTTTCGGACAATTAGAGCTCTTCCCAGATGCGGAGAGTTGCTATAGAATATAAGTTTCTTGAGGGCAGGTTCTGTTTGACTCTATACACCCAGTGCCCAGCACAAGACTAGTGGGTTTATTTATTCATTCAATCAACATTTATTAAGTATCTACCATGTGCCAGGCCTCGTACTAAGCACTGGGGATACAAAGAGAAGCAAAAAACGGTTCCTGTGCTCACGGAGCTTACAGTCTAATGGGGGAGACAACATGGAAACAAATACATACAAAGCAAGCTACGGACAGGAGAAATGGTTGGTGGTTGGCCTTTATTCTTGGAGAGGACCAAAATGACATCATTATGCTGGGGTCAGGGTACAGTGTGTCTGACTGGCTGATCAGACCTCTATGAGCTCAGAAGTTGGGCACAAATAGTCCATGTGAGCATAATTTATATGGACAGGAGAAACAGGAAATAATGAACAGAGAAGGGACTGGGATGAAGCGTGGTTGAGGACGTCTTCCTGTAGGAGGTGGGGTTTTAGCCGGGACTTAAAGGAAGCTGGGGAGGTCAGTGGTCAGAGCGGAGGAGGGGGAGCGTTCCAGGCATGGGGTGGCCAGAGAGATACTTGTTTGTGGATTAGCACATACTGAATGTACTAAGCACCTAGTAGATGATTTAATAAACGCTTGTTGGTTGACTGAAGAGCTTTCTGATTGAGCTACAGGTTGATTGAAAGGTTGGATGACCATTTGTGTAGGCTGCATGTCAGATTCTTGAACCTATAGGGTTTGCACTATTGATGCCCTGAGATTGTGACTTCAGTAGGACTGGCAGGACCCTGCACAAAGCCTCCAAGAGTCCAGTGTCACTTCCAGGGGCAGCGAGGTGCCTGAGAAGGTTCTGGTGGTACTTTCACGACTATATGCCTATAAAACTATATGCCATAGAAAGTATGATGAAAGCACAGAGCTTGGCACGTAGTACTTGCTGAAAAATGCTTTTACATTTATTGACCTGTCCATCCATCCATCCATCATCCATCCATCCACCCATCCATCCATCCACCCATCTGTTCATCCATCCATCCATTCATCCACCCATCCATCCATCCATCCACCCATCCATCCACCCATCCGTCCATCCATCCATCCATCCATTCATCCACCCATCCATCCACCCATCTGTCCTTCTGTCCATCTGTCCATCTATCCTTCTGTCCATCCCTCCATCCGTCCATCTATCCTTCTGTCCATCTGTCCAGTCATCCATCCATCCGTCCATCCACCTGTTCATCTATCCATTCACCCACCTGTTCACCCATCCATCCATCCATTATACATCCACCCATCCATTCATCCACCCATCTGTCCATCCATCCTTCCGCCCATCTGTCCATCTATCCTATCCATCCATTCATCTACCCGTCTATCCATCTGCCCATCTATCCTCCTGTCCATCTATCCTTCCGTCCATCCATCCATCCATCCATCCATCCACTCATCCATTCATCCATCCATCCACCTGTTCATCCATCCATCCATCCATCCATACATACATACATACATCCACCCATCCATCCATCCATCCGTCCATCTATCCTTCTGTCCATCCCTCTATCCATCCATCCGTCCATCTATCCTTCTGTCCATCTGTCCAGTCATCCATCCGTCCATCCACCTGTTCATCTATCCATCTATCCACCCATCCATCCATTCATCCACCCATTCATCCATCCATCCATCCGTCCATCTATCCTTCTGTCCATCCCTCTATCCATCCATCCATCCATCTATTCTTCTGTCCATCTGTCCAGTCATCCATCCGTCCATCCACCTATTCATCTATCCATCTATCCACCCATCCATCCATTCATCCACCCATTCATCCATCCATCCACCCATTCATCCACCCATCCGTCCACCCATCCTTCCGCCCATCTTTCCATCCATCCTTTTGTCCATTTGTCCATCTATCCTTCTGTCCATCCATGCATGCATGCATGCATGCATATATTATTCATTCGTTCATCCAATCCAGATAGAAAGCTGGCCTTTGGTGGGACATCCTGGGCTCAGATCTTGCACGAAGGCTTAATGGTTGGGTGGCCTCGGGCAAACAGATCCCTTGGCTTCTCTAGGCTTCCCTTAGTTTCTCAGGGAAATGAGGGGGTGTCCCCCGAGGCTCCTAAGGTCTGATGATATTGCCTCCATTTTACAGATGAGGAAAAGGAGGCACCTTGTGGGGATGTGATGTGATGTAGCCGAGGCTCCCCAGATCAGTCTCCTGGCCCGGGGCCTCTCCTACGCCTCCCAGAGGAGGTGGTGGGCTGGGCTGGCCTAGGGCTTGGGGCGCTGCGGGGGGTGGGGGGAGAACCTCACTCCTGGAACATCCGTCTGTATAGGATGACAGCTTCAATCACTACTCCCAAGGCCCCGCCTGCCTGCTTCGCCCCGCCCACCCCAGGCTCTGCTCCCCCGCCCCATCCGTCGCCGTTCCAGGCAGGATCGTACCACTCTGAAGGGAAGGGGGGAGCCTCCCGCTTCTGCTCTTGCTTTTCTTCCTTCGCGGCCACCCTCGGGGGGGCATCGCGACTCTCGCCCGGGAGTCGAGCGCCGCTGCGCCTCGGCGGCCGCTGCCCTGCCTCGCAGGCCGGCCACAGTGCCCGCGGCCGGCCGAGCGCTCCTTGATCTCCCCAGCCTGGCCAAAATGCCCTACCCCCGTATGCAGATGAGCACCTGGGGCCCCGCCCCCGACCGCCGCTGTGCGTGCTGATTGGTCCGCGGCGGAGGCGTGGCCGGGAGGCGGCTTGTTGTGAGAGGAGCGGGATGGCCGCCATCTTGTGCGGCGCCCGAGCCTTAGCCTGAGCTCGAGCCTGATCTCAGGCGTGCGGCCTGCAAGCGAGGGAGTGAGGACCCGGGCCTCGGGAGGCGCGAGAGCGGGAGCCGCCATCCCCCACCCCCTCCGCCGTCCCGTCTCCCACCCTCAGAGCCGGGCACAGCCTGTGCAGAGCGGAGCGCTCCGGGGTCCGGCGTGGGCCCGCGCCGCCCGCGGAGGATGAACGGAGGATAAATGGTGCCCCAGGCGGACAGCGGCGCCTTCGTGCTCCTCTTCCTGCTGGTGCTCACTGGCACCGAGCCGCTGCGCCCAGGTGAGGCCTGAGGACGAGACCGAGGGCCCCAGGGGCCCCAGCCAGGGCCAGGGGCCTGGGGCCGAGGGGCGGGCCCTGAGCCTGAAGTAAGGGAACCTGACCCTCAGGGGGCGGGGCCTGAGCCCTATAGGAAAGGGACCTGACCCATAATGGGCGGGGCCTGACCCGTAATGGGCGGGGCCGAAATATAAAGGAAGGGAGCCTGAGCCTGGGAGGGGCGGGGCCTCGGCCTGGGTCTGGAGCTGTGTGGTGTCGTGTCCCGTGGGCCCCCCCCCCCCGGGCCTACAGAGTGTGACCCAAAGTAAACCCAGGGACCACGAGGCAAGTAGAAGTAGGTTCCCACGGGGTGCGAATTTGTTTTTCCTGGTCCTTTGCAGAGTCAGTAAACATTAAGTGCCTGCTGTGTGTCAGGCACTGTGCCAAACAGTGGGCATACAAAGACAGGTGAAGCCCAGTCTCTGGCTGCCCCTGCCCCCTCCCCCAGGAGCCCCCTGGCTGCCCCTGCCCCCTCCCCCAGGAGCCCTCTGGCTGCCCCTGCCCCCTCCCCCAGGAGCCTCCTGGCTGCCCCTGCCCCTAGCATATTTTATTTCCCTTTTCTTCACCCCGCCCCAGGACGGGAGGCACTTAATCAGTGTGGGATGACTGGACTTCCTGCCCTCATGGGTTCTTTCCCTGTCCTGAAGTTGGACAGTGCTGTGAGGGTGCCAGTTTCGTGGCTGCTAAGCGTCCCTCTCCAGAGCCTGTTGGCCATTTCACCATTTCTGCTTTTGGTTGCCAGAGATACTTCCCGCTTCACCCTTTGGTTTCCTCCTCTCAGATGCACAGCAGAAGCCCCTCAGTGATAGCCCACGTCGGTGGGTTCTCCCCAGCCCCTTCTACCCACAGCTTGCCCGCTGACTGAAGCAGCTTTTTGAGGGTTCTCTTAGTGCACTGCCTGGCATGTGAGGGGCTGTTTTGGGAATGCTTACTGACTGACTCACTGACTGGCCTCCGCGTGTATGGGCAGAGGAGATTTCACTGGAGGGCCAAATGTCAGTGAGAGCTGTCCAGCAAGAGAAGGGGCTGCCTCTGCTTACTGTGAATGTTCTCTGTTCCTGGGCCCTCCGCAGGGGCTTGTGACTGGAGTCCAAATCCTTGCCCCAGTGGTTAGGAGGGAGCCCTGTTGTGGGTGTGCCAGGGCTTCCCATTGGGACGCTTGAACTCTTCTCTCCAGTTAAGCTGAGTTCCTTGTGCCTGTCCCCTGCCCCCACTCCACAAAGTTTCCACTGTGTGCAGACTCCTCTGGCTGTGCCTGGGGGACCACCCACCAAGGCCTTCCTTCTGTCCCTAGGGTTTGTGATTCTGTCTTTGGGAGCAGTTCACCCTCCTCTGACTCACTAGAGGCTTTTGAGGAGTGGCTGTGGCCAAAGTGTTCATCTCTTTTGAGCCAGCCTTGGAGTGAGCCCCTCCAAAGTGAGGCTCTGCACTTGGATGGGGGATAGAAGTGTGGGTCCTCGCCAGGCCCACCTTCAGGAGCATGCCCTGTGTTGGCATGAGGAGGAGGCTTGACCACCTCCGTGCCACGGGGTACACAGATGAGTAGGGCAAGGGCCTAAGAAGAGGATGGGGGGCTGTGAGCAGTGGAGGACAAGGTGGTGACTAAAGTGAGGGAGGGCCCTTCCAGCCCCCAACTCCTCCAGGGGATCCTTTCAGCTGAGAGAGGGGTGGACAAGGACTGGAGACCCCGGGCCAGGGGCCTGGAGTGGAGGACTGGAGATTGGGGACCAGGGGCTGGGGTCTGGGGATGAGGGGCCAGAGCCTGGAGACCAGGAGTGGGAGGCCAGGGAGCACAGGGTCTTCCAAGGAACTAGGTTTAGAGAAGGGGAAAAAAAGAGGTGTTGGAATTGAATTAGGAAGCGTCTGTTGTGGAGGAAGACCTGGGAGGGTAGGAGTGGGGGTTCAGAGATGTGCTAGGCTCCACAGATGAGCAGTCGGGTGTCTTTGGGTTTGCGGATTACTTCATGAGATTGGCAGGTGTCAGGGGGCCACACGACCCAAGGAAATTGACCCATAGTCAGCAGACTGTTGATTATGTGGCTATTGATACAATCCAGAAGGGAGAGTCGTCCCTTGTTCTTTGGGAAAATGTGATGTAATCCATCAGTGTGCATTTATTAAGCCCTGCTGAATGCCCGCTAACACTTTGTGCCTCTCTTCGGGCTCTTCGTGGACTGTTTTGCCTTGGATTAGAGGCAGCTGGGCGTTTGTCCTTTCACTTGCAGTTGACTGGAAGCTCTTGGAGGGCAGGGACTGGCTTGTATCCCTGCTGTGCCTCTCTGAGTAGCTCGATCTAAAGAGACACTGGACCGACTGTGATGTTAGCTTGGTGTCTGGAGGGGACCCTCTTTGCATTTTTGTAAATGACATTTGTGAATGAGCATTGATATTAGTGTGTGTTTGAGAAGTTGCTTTCCTCACTCACTTCTGCTCTGGGCACCCAGGATTAGGCACCTGCCTCCCAAGGTGAGGTCCTGGGTGGTATCTGGCAGTAGGCAGGCTGACTGCATGACGGTAGCCATCCTTCTGCCTCTGTCAGGTGTTGATTCTCCATTTCTGATGTTAGTCATGGGCCAGATTTCACCACATCTCCTTAGTGCATATGGTTCACCCCCGGAGGGGGCTTTTGGGTTTTGGGAAGGATGAGCTGTGAGAACCTTCGTCTTTGGGGTCATTCATCTGTATAAATCCACAGGGTTTTTGCCTTGCCCCCAGAAGACTCAAACTTGAAAATTCAAGAAAAAGGTTGTGTCTAAATCTGGCAGTTACTGTATAGTTGGCAAATGATATCTGTTATTTACACATCTTGCTAGAAGATGATGGTGTTACAACAACAAGGATGAGGGAATTTGTATTTTCATGACCTGGTGGCAGGTCATGAACTTTCAAGTCTAGGGGCTCTTCAGAGGCCTTTAGCTCAAGCTGTCTCAGTCAGGAGATGCAGAGCTGGAGCCCAGAAAGCTCAGCTGAGCCTAGTAAAGGCCTTTGTTATTACCTGTGTGGCCTGAGCAGTGGTCTGCCACCAGGCCCCCCCCCTGCTGCCATCTGTCCTTTGTGCCGCTTCCGTATGGCCCGAGCGAGGCACGCTTCTCCTCTGTTCCAAATCTGGCAGTGCTGCCACTGGGACTTCCAAGGAAAGTCATTGCCCTGCATTTCCTCTCCCATTTGGCCAATTTTGCTTTTTAAAGCATTCTTCTCCTCATTGGCTTTTTGGACCTCTTTGGCCATTTGGTTTGGGCTATTTTTTAAGGGGTTATTTTCTTCAGTATTTTTTTGGGTCTCCTTTACAAGCTGTTGACTTGTTTTTTGTGATTTTCTTGCATCATTTTCATTTCTCTTCCCAGTTTTTCCTCTACTTCTCTTACTTTTTTCTCAGAATCCCTTTTGAGCTCTTCCAAGGCCTGGAATGGGATTCATATTTTACTTGGAGGCTTTGAATGTAGCAGCTTTGACTTTGTTGTCTTCTTCTGGTTGTATATTTTGATCTTCTTTTTCACCAAAGTAAGATAATATAGTCTGACTCTTTTTGCGAGGTTTGCTCATGATCCCAGCCAACTACTTGAGTTTTAAACTCTTTGTTAAGGGAAAAGTCTGCTTCCAGTGTGGAGAATGTACTGTCCCAAGTTTCGGGGATTTGTACAGCTGTTTTCAGAGATACTTCTAGGGACCTGTAGATTTTCAGTTCTTCCAAGGTGGTGTGATAAGGGGCGAGGTGTTTACTCTTTTCCTGGCCTGTGCTCTGGTCTTTGAGTGACCAGCCACAAGCAGTCTTTTCTCTCTTGGAATTGTGAGGAGGGTTTCCTCTGCACCGCTACTACAAGCTCCACCATGCCAGTACTCCTCCTCACCCCAGGACCGCCACCCAGAACTGTGACCCAGATCCAAGCACGGGCAAAGCAAGAGATTCCTGCCTCGGCACTGGCAAAGAGATCCCTGCAGTTCCCCCCTGATCAGCCACTTGATTCCCTCTCAGTCTGTGGGCCTGAAGCTCAGGACGCAGCCACACCCTGGCACCCAGGCTCTGTGCTCTGGAACTGGCTTTGACCTAGCTCTTCTCTCACCAAAAAACCAGACTTTTCCCACTGACCTTCTAAGTTGTCTTTGGCATTCAAGGATTGAGAAGTCTGGAAACCGCCACAGCTGCCCGCGATTCATTCGACTCTGAGGCCTGCTCCAGGTTTGCTGCGGCCTGTGTGCCCAAGCCAAACTGGGCTCCTCTCCCCACCTGGTGCTGTATGCCTTTCCGATCAACCATCCAGGCTGTCTTGGGCTGGAAATTTGCTTCACTCTGTCTTTTTGTGGGTTTTGCTGCTTTAGAATTTGTTTAGAGCCATTTTTTTACAGGTATCTGGAGGGGTCTAGGGGAGAGCTCAAGCAGGTCACTGCTTTCATGCTGCCATCTTGGCTCCACCCCTTGTTTTGTTTTTTCCATTTCCTCTCTCCTCCTCATATTTCCCTAGATTCTTCCCTTTTCTTATTTCTAACAGCGCGGTAATCTTATTCCTGAACCACAGTTTGTCTGGTCATCCTCTAGTCCAGGGGTAGGGAACCTGTGGCCCTCTAGATCCTCAAGTGTGGCGCTTTGACTGAATCCAAACTTCACAGAACAAATCCCTTTAATAAAAGGATTTGTTCTGTAAAACTTGAACTCAGTTGGAAGGCCACACCCAAGGACCTAGAAGGCCACATATGGCCTCGAGGCTGCCGTTTCCTCCAGCCCTGTGTCTGGTCAGTGGGCCAGGGTCAAGACCCTAACAGAACCATGCCATTTTGGTCTCTTCGACTATAAAGGGCAGGAGCCAGCCAGCCAAGTCAACGGCATCGCTTTCTTTCTAGTTACTCGGAGAAGGTTGCTGTATCTCATTTTGTGTATTTGAGGCAATTCCCTTTGACTTTGACTTCCTTGGAGCCTTCTGCCTTGTTGGTACAGTTTAGAGACTTTTCTAGTGTAACTTCAAACTGGC